GATCCTGGGGACAGCTGCGAAAACGAGTTCCCAACGACATAAAGAGTGCGTTCCTTGGGGGGTTGTCCCAGCCCTGGGCTCCTCCGACGAATTCCTGGGCTCCCGAAACTCGAACCTGCCCCTCTGCGTCCCTACCTCTCCTGTTGGTATATTTCTTGTTTGTTGTTGTTATCTCGTTCCCGATGTTCTGCATGGATTTGTTTGTGTGCGCTCTCTCTCTCTCTCTCTCTCTCTACATACCTGTATACATATATTAATATGATCGGTGTCTCTCGTTCTCTCTCTCTCTCTCTCCCTTTGTCTCTCTCGCTATCCCTCTCTCTCTCTCGCGTTCTCTTTCACTCGCTCGCCCTTCCCCGGGGTAACTGCAAGGGAAGGGCTGCGGCCATCAGCTGAGCACGCAAGGGAAGGCGTCAAAACGTCCAAGATATGTTTCACCCGTGCTGGCCATGATGTCCATCCAATAAATTCCCATGACAGCTGGGACAAAAGCAAGGGCTCACACACATAACCATACATGCATAGACACACATACCTATAGATAATTACCAGCATACAAGCACATACATACATATATGCATGCACGCATGCGTACATACATACATACATACATACCTACCTACCTACCTACATACATACATACATACATACATATATACATACTTGCAGACAGACATGCGTACATAAATACATGTATACATATACACTTACGTATATTGCTGATGGCAAAAATCAGCACATATATGTGTACGTCGGTGTACTGGCACGTGTGTAAACCAAATAATGATGACGGTGCGTGCCTTTATGCGTATATGAATAGGCAAGTGGTTTTCACAGTGCATTCCAGCATCACGCGGAAGCGTGACGTTTGCAGCTCATGGATTAACACACCCTGGTGTAGGGAAGTGTCATGTTTGTCTTAGGCAAGTAGAGGATGAGGACGAAGGAGAGGCCGAATATAGAGAGAGGGGGGGAGAGAGAGAGAGAGAGAGAGAGAGAGAGAGAGAGATAGAGACAGAGAGAGAGAGGGAGATAAAACAGCACAGCTAACTATACATCTTTATGTATGAAAAGAGGAAATGTTGTGGGAGGCAGCGAGAAGCAGGAGTGAGGAAGGGGATGGACAAGGGAACAGACAGCGAGAAAAGGCGAAGGGAAACAGATAGGTGAAGCTGGTGGGGGGTAGGGCGAGGAGGCGAGGAGGGGGAGCCTGAGGGAAGGGAACTGGAGGACTGGGCGGAGAGGCCCACAGGATGACGAGGATGAACGACCAGGAGGGAGATAGAGATCAGACGCCGCGGAATATAACTGGGAGCATCCAACTCGACAGGTTGGCCAGCTATCAGTCAATCTCACCCCCTGCACCTGATGATCTGTATTCACATATTGGTTCGAGGAGGAGGAGGCGGAGGAGAAGCAAAGGCTTCGGAGGAGGTGTCGACATTGTCGTAAAAGCCGACTCCGCTGACCACCGCCAGCGAGCCGACAACGGGCGCCTCCGCTGCGGAGCAGACGAGGAAGCACAAGACAAGCGTGCACACCCATCGCCGACATGACGTGCAGCGGCGTCGTGACGTACAGCGCCGTCGGGGGACGGGAAGTTGACATGCACTGGAGGAGCCATGCTGCAGTAGCAAAGCTGAAGAAGATAAGACTGTCGAGGGAAAGGAGCCCCTGGCACCGCCAAGCCCGAGGCTGCACGACGAGACCTCCATCTCGCTCATGCCGCTCACCCGGCAGAGTGCTTCCAGATTGGCCTTTACTATGTCGATCGTCGGTAGCTCCACGAAGAAAGACTCCTGTCAGCTCCCATTCAGCACCATGCAGAACGCGTTCATCCACGTGGACTCTATCCGCAGGGTCATGAAAATAGTCTTCACCTGCCACCAGAGTGCCGCCACTACCTTCGCACAGTAGAGCGGTAAAGGAGTCATCATGCCAACCGTCGGGGCCATCACTACCACATTGCCCATCGTGCGCGTCAGCCTGAAAGGCACCATCAACGTTGCGGCATCCGGCCCAGTGGCATTGGGAACGCCATGCAAGACCCGATCAGTGTCACCAGCAGCAGCAGCGGCAGCACGAAGAGCCACAGGAACTGTGCCAGAGTTGTTCGGGGAGCAGCCCAGAGAATTCGCACCGTGTGGAGTGGCGTGTCGCGAACACGCGCCGTCATCATAGCCACTCTCGCAAGGCTGTGCCGCACGCGACGCTGTAGGAGGCGATGTCCCCATCAGCCAGTGGCCCTCAAGCGCCCGCCCAGCCAGAACAGCTGCGGGATCGGCCAGGGGCGCACCGCGGCAGCTTCGTTGGAGAAGCTCTGCTCGTCGCAGAGGCGGCGCACGAGGAATAGCCCAAGGAGGTTCGGGAAGTTCGGCACGGTCGGGGAGTATGCCGGCGCGATCACGAGGAACACGAGCGAGCACCGACAGCATCGGGAAAAGCCTAGACAGAGCGCACAGCACCAGGGACGCAACCAGAAACAGCAGCTTGAGGGGGA